ATATTTTCAACCTTTTGATGATATTCTAATTTACTGGCCAGCACCTGTATATATATATATATATATATATATATCGTTATAAAATGAACCGGTAAAAGATCTGTGCGGGCTCGGGACTCGGATCATATTAGTGCAAACCAGACATTGTGAAAATTATTAACAGCCAACAGCATGCTTCACTTTACTGGTCTAGTCCTGGTTTAGAGCGCACGTACAGCGAGCGGCTGCGACCCAAAAAGTACCAGAGCCGCTCACGGTGCATGCGCAATCATGCATCAACACTGCTCACCCGCTATTTCCCTAATAACACACGTTATAGTCATGAAAATACGGTACGTCCGAATTTTTATCCCAACATGACAGTGTTGATACAGTTTTATTTGCCTATATATTACTTTTCGGGTCGTCACGTGTACAACATTTAAGTGGATTTACCTCGGAGAAAATGGCGAAGTGGCCATTCTGTAGATGCCTCTTCAGATTCGTTGTTCTTTCCTCGGAACGACAGTCCACACTCTCGGCATGTAGTTTTGGTAGCAATGTTATCATAAGAAAATTGACTCCACACATCTTCTCTTCTTTTTCGCCCAGCAGTTAACATTTTCCTCTACTCCTTCTTCTTATGCCGTCGATATATTCAGTGAGCTATGTTTAGCATACCGCGCATACCTGCCCCTTTATACTATTCAGGGTCTGTCTTCTCTCACGTCGTCCCGCATGTTCACGGCACGCCACGCCCCTTGTCTTCTACTACGTTCGCATCTCAAAACAACACAATAGTCGCACCGCACCATAGAGCGCCATGTAGAAGAGCGTCATCGTAGATTTTCGTCTCGTCTTTCATTCGTTGACTAAAAGTTTCAATCAATTTAATTATCGTCTTCGTCTTTTTCCAAGCTTTTATTTTGAATTTTTGTTTCATTTTCGTCTGTAAATATATTTTTGTGACGAAAAAAAAGACGAAAATATTTTGTCAACAAAATTAACACTGTCTCAGAGTAAGGACTCCAAAGCACTTTACATTACAGTGCATCATTCATCCATTCACACACACATTCACACACTGATGGTGATGAGCTACGATGTAGTCACAGCTGCCCTGGGGCGCACTGACAGAGGCGAGGCTGCCGAGCACAGGCGCCACCGATCCCTCCGACCACCACCAGCAGACAAGGTGGGTTAAGTGTCTTGCTCAAGGACACAACAGCAGAATTCTCTGTCCGGAGCCGGGATCGAACCTGCAACCTTCCGATTACTGGACAACCCGCTCAACCTGTTGAGCTACTGCTGCTGAATAAAGCATTGGACAGTTCTTAACCCAGTTTTAGTCATTTCTACAATCTCCTTAGATGTTTTCTCTGCTTGAAGCCAATGATCTGGCACTTCTCAAACAGACTAATGTCTTTTCCATGCCCACCAGATGTGTCTTTCCACATGGCTGTTAAAGAAATGAAAAGCAGCTCATTGCACCAGTTGGGCATAAATAACTTGTTGCAGCTGAAAGATAATTACCCGTGTAGTATTTATCCAATAGGAAGCTCGTATCTATTTCCGTAGTTAAGTCCAGGTGGCGACTTTTTTTATTTTTTTATTTTTTGGCAGGGCAGTGTATATTCAACATTTTTAGAATGAATCATAACTAATGAACGACTCAGAATGATGCTCCTGGAGCTCCATGCATCATCATTTCTTTCTCAAGATGCTTATTAATTTGTAGAAAATTATTAAAATCACCAGAAAAAGACTTAAAATTAAAGACTTCCATCAATTAAATATGAAAAATGACAAAAAAATCAGCACATCACAGAAAACGTTGGATTGATTTCCACTTTGGTGTAATATATGTGACTCTCTTCACACCTAAACAAGATGGTGGTGTCAGCAGAGAGCCAAGAAAATTGCTTCATGTCATCTACACATGTCAGAGTTAAAACAGCTTCTCTTCATCCTGATCAGGAATCAGAACATGTCTGGTTCAACTGGTGTTTACTGGATTGGATCAAAGGTTTGTCCACAGTCTTTGTGACTGAAAACAGGCTGGTGAAGATAAAGATGCAACATAGACCTGATGTGGTGCGACAGACCAAAGGACGAGTCGATGATGATTCACAGAAGTGTAAAAGCCCACTGAAGAATATTACATCTCCTCGGTTTGTGTCTAACAACATCAAAGGCTTCCCTCTTCTCAGGAATACCTCCCCTGTGGATTAATTTGGCAACAAGGTGGAAAAGAAGAAAAGCTCTTGCAAAATAAAAGCTGATTTACTGAAACGTGTGCCCGACTGTGCAGAAAAAAGTGGGCTTTATTGATTATTTTGGATTTGTTCACAAGTGGAGCATCCTGAGCTCCCAATGGAAAAGACATGATGGAAGTCTTATGGCGTAGGTCTGAGGAGCAAAACAGAGAAAGTCAGTCTCTCTTTATTTGATCTATAAAACATTAAATGATAGAAACTGTTAATACACACAAGCAGGTGAAACTAAAAGCACATGTTTTCCAGGAACTAGAAGTGAGCCACATCACAGCTGAGCTTCAGGTGGCATGATTTGGAGTCTTATTTCCTGATATTTGGACATCTCTCCTTGGATTGGATAAAGGCAACGTGACTCTACCACTGACTTGCAATCTGGATGTTTTATCTCCACAGATAACACAAGCCTGGAGGAGTTCTGCTGTGTGGTGGAGTTGCTAATGCTAATGGTTAGCTTCTACCAGCCAAGATGTTCTCTGCTGATTCCTGGACACTAAACCAACAACAGTCTTCCCCGTCGTGAGCCAAGATGAATGAGTCCATGAACGTAAAGTGACAGTGTGACGTAGATCTGTCAGGCTTTTCAACTCCTAGCATTTCACTGTCTATTTTCTATCAGAAACTGAAGCAGGAGATAGGTGTAGGAGACTATCTTCATGTTCAGCCTGCATTAAAAAAACTCAGAGTGATCAGAAATACGATTTTTAAAATGTTTTTTCATTGATTCATACATATTTATTCATATATATTTTCGTAAATTCTTTTTCATTCATTCAAATATCTCCCATAAATCCATTAGGATTGTTGTCTATATTGCACATATAAAAACAATTAAAGACCGCTGTAGACCAATAATAAAAATGTGCTAAATTTGAAAGAAAACATCGAAACAAAAAGCTGACAAAACTCACTGGATGTGAAGAAAAAGCAAAAGGAGGAGAAAGTGTCGTAAAGTAGAAGCAAGTAAAACTATAATTTTAAGAATTTAAATTAATATGACCTTTTCCTAAATGGCTTTTCTAATAAACTCAGTTTAGAATGGTAGCTTTGATATAGTTCATAACCCTTCAAAAATGTCTATATTTTTAAGTTACAATAATAAGCAATAATTGTTTCTGGGAAATCACTGTTATTCTTGGTTTGCATTAGGTAAACACCTGAAAGAGCTACTGCAAAAACGTCTGCTTAAACAGAGGAATTCGTGCAGCCTTTGTTGTATTAGCCCAACACAGCTGCTACTTACAATCCATACAGGAGTGAAACTAAACCCAAGCTGCTTTCAGCAATGTGCTTCAAGATTTCTGAACAAGGAAGAAAACTTATTATGTTGAATATTGTTTGTCCAAATTTATATTTATTGTCAGCGCTTGTGGTGGTGGGGGTTGTCCATTACACTGATCACCTCCGTTAAAGCTCCGGAGGAATCCGTTTTTGGGCTCCCCTTTGTGTGTTAGTTGATGCCTTCCGGGGGAGCCCATCACTGTTTCGGGGAAGCCAGGCTCCCCCTAGCTCCCCCATAATTTGAACCCTGTTAATCTTATTGATAACCTATTACTGCATTAAGTGGTGTCCACTTTCGTTGTTTAATGTCATCCTGGAAAAACAAAAATCCTATTTCATTATTTTAAAATACATTATCTGTACATTCAACATGTACTAACTTAGTTTAAACAAAGCAATCAGAGTTCCAGCCAAGGGTCACACAAATTCGCTGTGTCTGCGTTTTGTCATTTACAGTATTTAACTACGTTTAAGCAGTCTGATATGGGAGCTCTTTAATTCAGAAAATTAATGACACAAGAAGGATTTGTCTGACAGCTTTTTCCTGGTTGAACATGTTCATCTTGTAGCTGCATGGCGTCGTGTTTCCTGTCCGGTGTGTGGAAACTCCCCCAGTCCTGTTGAACTTCAGCTGTAAAATTCTGACCTTCTTCAGGTACAAGGCACTAGTGATGGGAATTCCGGCTCTTTTTAGAGAGTCAGTTCTTTTGGTTCAGCTCACCCAAAAGAGCCGGCTCTTTCGGCTCCCAAGTGGCTCCTCAGATTTTCTGTTGCGTAGAGTACATTTATAACCAAAATAATGCAAAACTATATGTAAAATGATTTACTAATGTAAAAAAATGCAATATATCAAATAGTTATCATTTCTATGAATTTAATAACTGAACACTTTAAGAAATCTCCACTTTCCGACTGCTGGCGCTCATTTTCTCACGTCTTCGTCGCACTCTCCTCTCTCTCGCTCGCCTTTTTCCTCCTCCTCATTCCCTCTCGTCGCCCTCCACCCGCATGTGCTCTGCTGTGTGTCTGAGTCTGATCCTCCCTCTTCCCCGCCCCTACTGCTCTGTGTGTGGACAGTCTGGACGAGCTGGCTCCCGTCGTTCACTTCAAAGAGCCGGCTCTTCGAGCTGGTTCGTTCGCGACCGACACATCACTACAAGGCACCAGCTTTTGAGTTGACATTCTTGTATGTACAGCCACGAACAGGTGTGACATCGTGGTCCCCATCTGGCTGTTTTGGCATTCTTTGTCAACTGGAGGAACACACCTTGAAACGGAAACAGCATTTTTACACATTTTGTCTTTAAATGTGTGACTCTTATAAAAAATAAAGCCAAACCTGAAATGATCTGCCCAACTTTCACAGAGGTAGGTGGAGAATGAGACCAAATAAGGGAGAAAATAGCAGGAAATGGGAAGTTGATATTCTGGGGGGGAATTTATATGGGCGGTACAGATTGTTAGCAAAAACAGGAACCAAGAGATAACATGTCACAAAGTACACCTGCACACCTGAGTAAAGCCACTCCTTTCCCAGAGCACACCAGACACAATTGATCAGCTGAAGTAGCAGGTTGCTCTGAAACTCACATTTTTACCGCTCTTGATAGAATGATTTGAATAAAACTTGGAAGGCGCTGATTAGTTAATATTATTGTGTTTTTCGTTTTTCAAAACCAGGAATTTTGAAGAGGAATTAAAGGAAAGTGTCATCTAAATAAACACAAGGGAGATGTGGTCTGTGAACGTAATGTATCTGCTCTTGCTCTGTTATGGTGAGTAACAAGATTTTTACATTTTCATTTACAAATTTTAGTCTTTTTATTTAGATGAATGTTGGTGAAAATGTTATTTGTCCACAATTTTAATAACTTAGATTTCACAATGCTCTTGGTATGAAATCGTTGAAAACTATTATTATACAACATACAATAATAGAAAATAAATCTCTCTTTTATGTATGAGATTGGGATTTTCTCATAAGAAATTTGTAAAAATGAGAAAACAAACAGATTTTAAGTTTTAACTTTCAGCAGAGTCAAAGTCCAACTCCAACAACTCGACTCTGAATCCAGAGTGAGCGTTGCCACTTAGGCTCTCGAGCTCATACCTGCTGTTAAGAATAAAGATTTAAAAAAAATGTAGATTGAAAGATGTAACCTGAGAATTTTTAAGCTTCTTCAGCCCAGACTGACTGTTTCCTGCTCAAACAGCCTGCCTGTCTGTTGGAAATGGTGAAGTGTATTTCGTCTCTAAAAACTTCCACAACGTCCTCATCTGGGATCCCGTGAACTCTGACCAAGACGAGGTTTACAGCGTTCAATACTTGCAGTAAGAAAATTAAGTTTTACTTCCTTTCTCCGTATGCTCGAAGTCACATCAACCGGATGGAAATAGTTATGTTTGCTTGCTTGGCCAAAAATGTCAAAGCCTTTGCAGAGGACTGGTCTCACAGATGAAAAATGTTAGAAGGTTTAATTATAATTTTTTGCAGTGTGGATTACTTGTGGGCTGCCTGTAGGACCTTAGTTCTGTCTGCAGGATGTAAAATGGGCAGTTGATTCTTGTCAAAATGATGCCAGTTCTGCATTGTGATTTTCCTACACGCCGTCCAAATGCATCCAGAACTTGGAATAAACTGGCGTGCTTTATCCCCCAAAGTGTTATTTGCATCAAAATCTGCATCCCCTTTCTGTGAAACTATTTTCTTATTGGTCGTTTACGTATTTAAATCCCGTGGCCAGAGATTTGCACAGACTTGATCTCCTAGTTAAGCATTTTTATGTCCTGGATATTTCAGCTCGCTGCCGATGCTTTCAGATGATCTCCAAGCAGGGGCGGATTAGGGTGGCGGAGGTGGGAGGAGGTTAAACAATGCTTGAATGTTATGCGATTGCTCGGTCATTTATGTAAATTTAACATTTGGCCTTATTCAGTTTTGTCAGTCGTCATCATGGTACTATGAAAGTACTACTTTTTTATCTACAAAATCAACCCAATTAAACCATTTAAAAATACATAAAAATGTTGTTCATGTATTATAAAAGCCCGAAATCCACAACTTTAATGATTTCCCCGAGTCACAGGAGAGGTCACTATAGATTTTTTTTAAAATTTAACATTTCTTACAAAGTCTATTTGTAATGAGGATTTGTTTTGTTAACACTTTACAATAAGGGTCCTTTATTAATGTTACTTAGTGCATAATTAAGCCTTAATAAACAGTGTCTTTTTAATAACGTTACCAATATTGTTAACTATAAGTGTCCTTAAGGTTAGGACAAAGGGCCAGGGGTGTCTGCTTAGTAATGCATTATTTAATATTAAGCATTTTGTAACACTTTATTAAAAAAGTTATTAATGCTTAATAATGCATTAAGTAATATTAGTAAAAGGACCCTTATTGTAAAGTGTTACTTTGTTTTTTATATTGTACTCTGGGCTATGACACGATTTTTGATGGGGACAAGGAGGAGGGAACCCATTTGTCGTGTTTTGGCTTCTCTGCACTGTCTCCCTGTGTGTTATCAGGCAAATTTAAGATTGTTTTGTATGGTTTTTGGTCCCTACAGAGTTACGCTCCTCCGTACCTGTGCTGCTACAAAGACATAACCCATCGATCTCTTTGCTCGGCTGTGCGGGAGTTGTTGGTTGTTCCAATGCTCCAAACACAGGTTATGGAGGAGATCAAGCATTTTCACTTATAGCTCCAACTCTTTGAAATCAGCTGCTGCTTGCTGTTAAACAGTCACCATCATTGCAAGTGTTTGATACATCTGAGACCTGTTTTTATTGTCTGGCTTACATGCAACATGGTTCATAATCTTAATTGGTAGTTTTCATTTTTCTTAATTTTTCTACTGCAATTTTATTTTGTGTAAATGCCTTTTAATTATATTTTAACCAGTTTTATTGCCTTTTATTGATCGGCATGTCATGATTTTGCCCATGTTGTTCAGCGCCTTGGGCTTCTGTAAAGATAGTGGAAGGCGCTATTTGAATAAAGTTTGATATTAATATTCCCTTTTACATTTATGTTTTAGAGTTTCGGTTTTTTCTTTACTAGTAGAAGCTGCAACTCTGTGCCTCCTAAAAGAGATAAATCCATCACTTACTGGGCCTTTCCACTGACTGGACGAGTATGCGTTATGTAATAATGTCTGAAATGCATAGTAATCAGCAGTTAGCTGCCATTGCAGTCAATGAGTTAATTTTCACCAGCCGCAAAGTATTGGATGTGTCCCAGAAGCGTAGTATGCTCTGCTAAAATTACACTTTGAGTATATTTTGTATGTGCAACAACTGCAGAACATGTCAAGCTGAGCAGTTCAGATCACGCAGGAAGTCAAACACAAAAGAAATGTAAAACACCTGCAAACCTTCCATAGAGAATTCCCGTGCACATTTTTATTTGCCTAACTAGTAAAAAAAAAAAGTACGCAATTACCCATGCAGCCTCTGTAGCTGAGGTAAATGTAGCAGAAATAACCCACAGCCCTTTTTGGATAAATGCTACAATCTTTCTCCTTGCTCGTTATCACGTGAAGTGCCAAAACCACGTGTGGTCTTGCAATTTTCAGGTGATTTTATGAATTCATGGGACTAGCTGCGTGGAACACTTTTGCTGTCGTTTTGTGTCTGCAAATCTCAGGGTGGGAAGGGCTCGTGAGTAAATTGTTACGCACCGCTTATGCATTTAGTTGGAAGGCCACGATTAGCTGTGCAGAATCAAGTGTAGATGGCAGAGTAGAAGGCAACCAAAGCTATCTTAGTTTGGAAAATCTGGAAGAAATTGATTATCAACTCAAACATACAAATTTAATATTAATATTGCATGTTTCCAACCATTTGATCCAAATGAATAAATTAAAATTTGAATGCACTCATTTCAGTTACAATGATGAAGGCCAGTTTCGGATAAAAGAAGACTGTCAGAACATTAGGACTCTGTCCTGTGACCTGACTGCAGAAACACCATCAGTGGACCAAGAATACTACTTTGCTAGAGTGATGTCTAAAGGGAGAAGCATCGGCATCACCACCAAATTTCACCCTTTCAGAGACAGTAAGAATCTCCCCACCAACGTGCTCATTTGTTTAATTCATATCGGCTGTTTTCTGTCACAGCGTTTATTTAATCTTTCTTTGTTTCCTAGCCATTCTTGGTCCAGCTACTTTGTCTACACACATCACTGCATCTGTCCTGCACATCAATGTTACCCTGCCACTGGGACCAAAAGGAGTCTCCCTTCAAGACATCATAAACTCCAGTAAAAGCCGAGGCTCCAAAATGGAGTATATTTTAAACATAACCCAACCCACGTTGCATGCACAGGTTAGTCATTTTTTTGTGACCTGTAAGAATTTGAGTAACATGTGAGTTTGGGATGTTTGATTCCTGTGAAAACGCTTATAGCCGTGCTTCCACTGTCGGAGCTCTAGGAAATTCCTGGCGGGGGGAAAAGTTGCATTCAGTTGTGTCTCCGTACAAAATTAGTACTTACAGGACTTCGCAACTGCTTTGGCAGTGAGTGACATCACTGATCAGCACCAAAAAGCATCCATGACATTACATTGAAAAGTTTTATTCTTTCAAAGGATGTCATCATTTATTCCACTTAGGTTTATTGTAAAAAGCCACATTCAATGACCAGAAGAAGCGTTTTTTTTACAGCGTGCTATAGACCAGAAAACCAAAAATTATGATGTTGTGAGGAGGTTTCCGCCGCAGTTTTGGGTGTTTAGATTTTAAAGCAGCGTGACCCGTGATTTTTTCCCTTTCTTTTCCATTCAACTTCACCAGCAACTCTTCTAGTTAAAAAATGCTGGTAAGGCTGATGTCATTTCCTACAGCATGTTAATAACAGTAAAACTACCCAGAAGTTGTGATAGTGGACAAGGGTCTACTGAACAGTATTCCATAGAATTCCATCTGTGAACAAAGATCAATGATTTTGCAGTAGTTTAGTAGGGATGGACAATATATCGGCATCAATATCGGTATCGGTCGATGTTAGTCATTTTTTAACATGCCGGTATTGGTTTGATAAATAAAACCGGGCTGATTTTAACAACCAATATTTTTTCCATCTCGCCTCCATTTGTTTGCCTGTTTCAGAGGGTGAGGTGGGTGATGTGTAATTGTTTAGTCATGTGTACACTGAATGAAATCATCTCAGAACCGTAAATGTGTTTGTTGTGTGTACATAATAATGCAAATTCAGCTTTAATAATTTTCATTACATACAAAATCTTCTGATTTTAGAAGCATTAATGTCAGTATATCTGTATCGGCAAATATCGGTAATCGGCTATAACAGGGATCTTAATATCGAATATCAGTGTTGGCCCAAAAATTTCATATCGGTGCATCACTAGTTTAGTGTCATTTTGAATTTGTGAACAAACCAGCAGCCTGCTGATTCCACATATTAATCTCATCAACATTCAAAGAATAAAAAGACAGCGTAAATCGGACCGTAAATGAGTGGCCTGCACAGTTTTAGGAGATGAAATCTCCTCACATCAACTAGAAAAGATCCATTTCACACATGAATTATTTTAAGGGTTTCACCATTGCTGTTTGCAGAGATCTTAACTGATATTCTGTAATAAAACTGGTCCATGTCTCCAGGAACTCAAGAATAAAACCGGACAATTCAACATCGAGATGATGCCCAACCTGGGCTCCTACTGTGGACACGTCGTGTACAAACCAATTCCAGGATGGGGTCGCGAGCCAAGTGAGAAGGCTTTCTTCTGTGTCAAGCTGCAAGGTGAGGACATACGATCATCTTTTTCAAGAAAATGTTTCTTATATATTAAAACACACAGACACACATAAGAATATGATGCTATTTGTGTCAATGATTAACTACTGAGAAAGGCGCCTTTACGATTTTCATAAAAATATGATTACACTTGAAGCAGCAGCGTGACAACTGTCTGAAATGCTTCAAAGGCATATCTGCTATGGGGGTAATTAAAATCCTTGAAAATGTTTTGTCCTTTTCTACATGCATGGTAATCAGTTTGAGCTCATCTTTGAGTGATTGCAGCCACTTGAAAATAATGTGATGTTTAGTAATAAATTAGATATTTTGCTGTAAAATCTTTTTCCAAAACACTTCACTCTGCACTAAACCCCATGATAAATCCATCAGAGGGCAACTACATCTATGCTGCCTTAAATAAAGTCACAATAATATTTCTGTTGGTAATTCAGAACATTTCTGCCCTTTGTTGTCACGAGTTATGCTTTTTAAACAGGAAATGAATATAGCTAACATTTGCTTATGTGCTCAAACTATGATTTCTCTCAATATCAAGTAAATTATACTTTTTATACCAGATGTGACATCCATTTAACACTGTTTTTTTAATGATAATGTATTTTAAGTTACCCTGACAATCATTTATATTAATGAGAGTTTAGGGTAGAGATGTTCGATACTGGCTTTTTTTTTACCGGTTTGTGATTAAACTAATATTGTCTGACTCATAATTTCCGACACCACCATAAACAGATACGGATACATGCTGTGTACCCCTCGCATATAAAAAGATAAACTAAAACATTTTAAGTTACTAACATCTCATATCTCCTATCATGTGTGCCTAAATTTCAAAACACATTCAGTGCAAATTGACAACTACTTCAATTTAAGATAGTAAGTGCCATTTTTATTTTGTCTCCAACAACAGCTGAATCTCATTCTCCCTAAGCGTGATGCAAAGATGTGTGTATTAGCTAGTAATGTATGCTATGGTGATATAACATTCAGTTAAGAAAAGCAAGTCTTGGGTGAAGATTGTTGTTTTTGATTTAGTCGTTTGTTAGCTGGCTAGCTACACGTAGCTAAATGCTGTGAGGACAGAATATATTCACTATGCAGGGCAAACTTCTACTTCACAAGTTGTACCAAATAAACTGAAATATCTCTAAAACTTTACCTCAGATCTGTCATTTTTTAACAATTTAAGAGAGAGGAGAGGTAGCTGAAGAGTTTCATGTATAATATGTGTATGTTATATGAATGATGGGCCACTGAAAGACTGAAAATCAATAGCGATATTCTCCTATATGAAATTCTAATGACCATATTGGCTGATATTAATGGCAGACCGGTAATCCCTAGTTTAGGATGAAACAATTACTGGTTTACAATAATAGGGAAGATTGGATATAGCTAGAATGTGGCACGGTGGAGAAACGAGTGCCCGGGAGGGATTCGATCCCCAGACTCCCGGGTGATAGCCAAACACGCTAACCAGTCAGCCAAAGGGATATCCTCGTGGTCAAGTAGCCAGGGCGCATGATCAATCGGGATATGGTGACAGGATGCTCACGCCGTCACAAGTAGAAAAAAATGCATCATTTAAACTTGTGCAGAAGTAATTGTCAAAGTTACCAAACAGAGATTTGATATGTGACAAAGTCTATTGATGAATAATGATAATTATGAATAGTAACATTATAAATTATATCTTTCACAAATTTAGTAAGATTGCTGGATCTAGTTTGTACAATAATCTCAGTTTGTGATGGTCTTTTGTTTTAAATGGTGAACTGGTTTGCGAAAACCGCCCCATGTAACAAACAGACTTAAGCACGAGATTCATAGTGTGATTTATTTATTGATTTTCATTTTAAATGGAACAAGCAACCGGACTTTAAAGCTACACCTTTTCTCAGATATGACTGTGATGGTCGCTCTTTATTTCCCCTTTAGACAATCCTGTAACGCATTCATCCCAGCTTCTCGTGAGCGTTGCTGTTGTGGCAGGCATCGTCATCGTATCAGTTGTGTGTGTGTGCACCTACCTGAAGGGTGGAAAGTCAAAGACATTGCCACAGGCACTGGTGAGTCCGCTTTAGTCTGTTTACACCTTTGAAACCAGGAAAGGTTTTCTTACGGGAATGTCATGCCCTGTAGCAGATTACTTTAGTCATGCTCGGTGTGACAATTGAAAGCAGCCTGGAACTAAAATCGGATGCATCACTTAGATTGCACAATGATTCATGGTACTCTTCTTGTTTGAAGACATTTTGCTGGTTGAGTATATATTAGCAGTCATAAATTTCTCTTTGCTCTCTTTCAAACAGAAAATTCCCTCAGAAGCCCATGAGGTGTTGTTGCAGGTTCCAGATAAGAATCTTATCATTTCTGAAATCCTTGTTGGCACCAAAAGTGACCAGACAGTTGGTGCACCAATCCAGGTGAAGCCCGAATCATGTCCAGGCCTTTTTGAAACGTATTCCCCTCAGGACATCCCCTGGCACATCTTCAGGGGCGATTCCTCTTTGAGCAGAGGAAGAGGGACCTCAAATCTCGAGGGCGCCAGTGTCCACTCCTCTGAAACCTACAGTGCTATTGCAACCCACCTTCAGGTGGAAGACAATGAAGAGCCTCAGGCTGTCACCAAATGCAGAAGAACAAGTCGTTCACCTTTGTCCTCCATTGAAGACGAAAACTGGAACAAAGGTGAAATGATTACAAAGTTTTCCTCACATGAAACATCACAGTTCCCCGAAAGTGAAAGCAATCCAACCGAGCAGCTGGTTCTGAAAACTGAACAGAATATTAACGGTCAACTTGTGTTTCCTTTCCTTTCATTTCCACCAGAAAACAGCAGTGGAGACTCTGTATTCCAGATGCACCACGAGAGAAAACCCTTCCTAATGGATGCCACAGAAGGTCTGGACGTCTCCCTGTTGATGTCTTTGCAGAGATCATGCAGCACAGATTCTGGGTGTGATGACTGCACCGTAAACACGCCGACCAGTTCATACTACAACACCAGTTTTTCCCCCCCTCAAACGGTTGTTCCTTATTTGCATGAAGGATGTCACACAATACCGTCAGCTGAGACCGGATCGGGTTACAAACAAAACTGGATGCCTGGAATCTCTCGTAAACCTGCATTAGTTGATGCTTGGATTTGCTCAGAAATGATCAAGGAGGTCGAGGATAATGAGGTTAATGAGGATAGAGAATATGTGGCGAACATGGGGCAAATTATTTTGGGAAACTGGGAAATTCAAACTCAGAAATGAGTTTCTACATTCTGGTACTTCTTAGGGGTTTAACGAACCTTTCCTGTAGCTCTCAAAACCTGGCTTTGTTCTTGCTTTTCACCATCAAATGGTGGAAAAATAAGTCAGCAGGAGAACTTATGGACACTTTTCAGGAAAAAAAAAAAAGAACCTGTAGCATCAGTTGCTTAATGTAATGGGTCGCTGTTTATGTAGACTGTGGTTTCGGAATATACCATATTGTTTATGTGAAGTTTATTTTTATATGTAGTCTTTAGAAAAATTCAATAGGTTTTTACAAGTGTGGATTAGTTACAAATGTTTGACTGAGTGCTTGAAGTGTAAAAAAACAGTACGAATGGTGAGGGTGGCAGAGGACACCTGCTGTTTACCTAAAGATGGACTTTTTTCTGTCATTTTGGAGATTTAGTCTACTAAAAAGTTGGGAAAGTATCAGAATGCACCGTTCTTAAGAGAGAAGTCTTGGTAAGCTAAGAGGTAAAGTTTAAGTGTCTATACCACTACTACTACAGTGCATACCAGCTAATTTAAAGTACTGCTTTTACCCATGTAACTATTTAAAAAAAAAAAAATATATATATATATATATATATATATATATATATATATATATATATATATATACATACATATTTTGTATAAGACAGTTGTCCCGGGCTGTGCAGTGGCGCAGTGGTTAGAGCTGTTGCCTTGCAGCAAGAAGGTCCGGGGTTCGCTTCCCCACCTGATCGCCCGTTGACCGATGGAGATAGGCACCAGCCCCCCCTGCGACCCTGTGTGGACAAAGCGGGTTCAGAAAATGGATGGATGGATGGATGGACAGTGGTTCCCAACCTTTTTTCCTTGCTCGTGTTCAAGACAAGCCAGGGCCTCCCAAACCCTAACTCTTACCCCCATGGGAGCCCAAGTCTCCTCCCTCTCTGGTCAGCTCATGGGTCCCCGGAAGAACAAAAAATGAATGCAAGTCAACGGGGCCAAAAAAAGCTGTTTTCCAGACCGCTTTGCCTTACACCCTGAATCAGACATACAGTATGTTGTATTTCAATTTAAATGGAAAGTAACAATGAGTGTTTTTGACCACGCCTGTCATGTACTTTGAGATTTATCAGCTTGTAAAAGCTCATAATTAGCCTGACTACATGCCAGACGTTGGCATATCACAAACATGACATCACCACAGAATCTCCTCTCCCCAAGCGTAGCTGATAGTTAACAAAGGCACGATTTGTGGTGTTTTTTCCTTCTCATGTAAGGATTTGAAGTTCGCTGAACTTACAGCCATTTTTCTTCTGCTCTTCTCAATGTCTGGTTCAGTGACATCCATTAGGTGATGTGCCTTTGTTGTCCTGGACATATTTTCACACAAAACCGAAAATAACTTTTCCCCCCGTTCGAAAATAAGTGCTTTCTTGGCATCAAAATGCAGCAACAAACGGGATTAGAACAAAGCATATTTAGCTCTTTGTTCTTGCATTCATTTTTCGTTCTTCTTGGGACCCGTGGTCCAGAAGTAGATGGACGTGACTTTGACTCCTTATACACACATCTAAAGTGATTAATTACAAACTTTATACAGATGTACTGAGTTATAACTCGTATACAGTACTGATTATATTATTTGGTGTGTTACTGGAAATTATAAATGTAATTTTTTACAAATATACTCTTTATAACCTTGCAATCACAGTACAGACTAAAATATGAGAACCCCTTAGGGGATCCCGGACCCTAGGTTGGAAACCACTGGTATAGGAGGTTCAACTGAAGCAGCAGTATGCCATAAATCCCACAGTCACCATGAACAGACACTATAAATAACAGCTATGTGTTCGTCACCATGACGACACATTTAGGTTATTGCTCTTCCTAAAAAAAATTGCTTTTTTTTTTCATTTTAAAAACACCTCATGACCAGAATTGGCCAGTGTTGAGTAGGTTTGGTTTGATAATAAACCAAACTGAAACTCTAAATTCATATTTTTTCAGGGGGTCCATAAACACAACATTTATTCTTTGGCTTTTTAACCTTCCTATAAAGTTGTGACACCGTGAATTTTACCATTATTATAATTTTTTGGTTTTTTTTTCGAACTTATTTGAATCTTTCTGGTTTTGTCTCATGTGCTGGACCCATGAGTGTCTAATAGTCAACCACCACCACTACACCTTTAACACGCAGCAAACCTGTTATTGCAAAGTGTCTGACTTTCTACAATCTTAATTTTCAAGTCAATAAGAATGTTTTTTTTACTATGATCACTTTTGTCATATTTCAGTATTACATATATATATATATATATATATATATATATATATATATATATATATATATATATATATATATATATATATTAAAAAATCCTTTATTTTTTCTTAAACTTAGCATATTTTTTGTTCTCTTTGTTGGCTGTTCTGTCATTGGAGAACAAACAAAGTTTTACATGAATATGTGAGAACGCAGACTCGGTACGACAAGAATGACTCTGATAAGAGCCTGGCTTCAGCTGTGCAATCCTTTCTAACCTGCTGTAAATTCATATTGGGTGTGTCAAATCTGATGTCAGTTATGTATCATTGTTTTGCATATCTTAAATCTGTAAAGTTAATGTAACGTGAATGTACATTTTTAACTTGTGAATCTTTTATGGTTTTTGTAAAGCTTCATATTCTGTAAAGTATTTTAACCAGAAACAAAAATACCTAAAAGCACAAAGCATAGAGCGATACTGAAAACTTGCTTCATGTACAACGGAACATGCATTGTTTAACAAATGAATTTTTATTTTATGTCAATAAAAGCAATTTTCAGTTATAATTTTGATAAACTGCCACTTGGTTTAGGCAAAAATGAAAAATAAACATTCATTGTGTGACACAGGAAAAGTGCTTGCTACTGTTTACTACATAATGAAAGCAATGAGGTGAGGCAGTGAACTCAAAGAATCCAAAGTTCAACTTGTCTGGGTTTCACCGAGCAGGTGCACGTCACAGCTTAAAATGAAACAGAAAACTGTTCAAGGACTAATTCTAGTATACCTGCTTAAAAATATGAACCGAATCGACTAAAAAGCTAACTATTTTGTGCAACAAATCACAGATGACACCTACTGAAGGGTAAAAACTGCTCATGGAACATTAAAAACATTAAGCCAGATAAATTCATCAACAGGGCTCTTCTGTCTGGGGCAGAAATCTCAGGTTTAACTCCTATTGTGAGCTCAGTTATGCAATGTTACCTAATAGTCCAATAAGGTATCTTATGACACAAGCCTAGCCTAAATATTACAAACATCATTCTAATTTATTCAGGTCACCAGTCTATCACAGAGTAAACTGCATTGGGTCAACTCAAAATTTTCAAGAAACGTGATATGCATGTTTTTAGACTGTGGGAAGAAATTTGAGAATCCAGAGAAAATACACGCAAAACTTCACCCTGAAAGACTGCTGCCAACATTTAGATGAGGTCTTCTCAATAAAGGGAGACACAGCAAATAAAAACAAGAAGGAAGCTCATGCCTTTACCTGGTTGGGATTACAAGGTACCACCAGACCAGAGAGAATAGTCACCCTTCAGCCATTTCTGGTTCTGTTCCTAGGGTCTCCTCTCTTTGAAACATGCCTAGAGAACCTCTAGAGTAAAGTGGACACCCTAATCAGATGCCTCAACCTCCTCAGCTGACTAGTGATGTGACGTCCACGATGGAATCATTTTGAACGGGTGTTCAAAGTGAACTAGAGCCGAGCCTTTGTAGAGAATCTTGTCCTCCACCTCCAACCCCGAAGGAGCTTTCCACCAGGCTAAAACAAAAGTCCAATGCAGTGCATAATTGAATGCTACGCTAATCAGTTAGCTCCAAAACACAAAAGATGGATCATATTTTGTTCGACTTTCTTCTTTTTCACAGTTAGCTTGAAATTTACAGACTGACATGAATTCAATGCAGGTGGAGTTAGCATTCAAGCTAAGCTTGGTTGGTTTGATAAGCTGACTGTGTATCATTGCTATCACCCCATCGTGCACATTCTCATCGATCGACCGCTTCCTCTAGTGGATGCACAAATCTACTGGTTAAGGAATTAGGGGACTTAAGACCAGACGGTCTCAGAATAAGCAGTAAATTAAGATTCCAATTTGGCATCCTTGCTGAAAAATACAGCATGTTGTGTTTTTGGATGCTGGTATAGCATGAAATGCAAGTCCAGCATGGGATGCTGGACTCTGGACCAGCATAGTCCATTGTCCACCAGCTAAACCAGCACCAAAACACAACATGTGCTGATTATGCTGTTTTATTTCAGCAGGGATTAGGCTAAAGGGTGATTTGATCAGTGTCTTATCTTTTCGTCTGACCATTTTTGTCTTAAATCTGAAGATGCTTTTGGTTATTTTAATATGTCCTAAGATCGCCACCTTACCAAGACCCAACAAACACAATGCAACTATTGTAAGGCATCAAGTAACCCCACAGGTCAAATAAAATGCATAGAACTTGTCATAAATATATGCATCTGATTTTTACAAAAAGATGCTTGAAACTTTGGGGTTGCTTTAAGCGCTTGCAAATGCATTTTAATATTTCATATAAAAGAATCGTGGAGGAACTGTTAAATCCCCCTCATGTATCCTGTGACCCTCTCTTCAGCTTCTAGCTTTTTAGAGTCAAACGCGAGACCCTTGGCATAAAAGTTTGTTTTGTTCATCAAATCTTTTTTCTGTAAGGATAATTCAGGTAGGAGGACAGCTGGAGATTTTAAACAACAGGCAGTTTACAACAAGAAAATGTAAAATTAATATCAAGTGTCTCCTCCTGAGAAACAGGAAAAGAAACACCCTCAGGAAGAGCATAAACAAGCTTAAGTTGTAAATGATTATTTGAAGAAAACATTTTATCAATGGCAGAAAGGATGTTCTTTGGTTTCTTTTATTTAAAGTGCTGCATTATAAATATGACGCACCGGAGCATTGACAAAAATTTCCATCATCTCAGTCTTCCTTCTTTGCTCATCTTTTGAATGATGCCTAGATAAAAACAGTGAAATGCTTTGATTGGCTAGCAGCACTGGCAGGTTCTTCTCTGCCTGCCAGAATCCCATCTCTCTACACTTTTAAATCTCCAACTCAGGAGAATGTCAAATGGGAGATTTCAGAGCAAACCCCGGAGTGCCAGAGCCATGATGGAACTTTGGAAAGGGAACCGTTGTTCGAGTGAACCATCTTTTTCTGCACAAACAGAATTTCAATCACTGCTGCAGGTTTGTGTTCACCCAAGATCAATAAATACACTAATGGATAGGGAGTCTTGGCCACTTCAGTCATTTCCAGCAGCACATGGACCTTTGACCTTTGACAAGGTCCTTGCACAAGGAAATGGTCCTTTCAGTCACAGTCGGAACAGCCAGCCGTAATTCCAGGAATACATTTGTTGATTCTTTCACTTCTCCAGAGAATGAATCCAGGCTCCAGCTAGAGTGTTTTGTACTATTCTCTGAATCCTTTATGAAATGGAAAGGAAAATTGCTTATTTATGGTTCAGATACCAACACACTTA